ATGAACTACTTTATGCCAAGAGAACCTACCAACACTGACACAAGAAGAAATAAAAAACATAAGTAATAATATTAAATCAAATTTTTAATTAAAAAAACCAACCCAAAAGAAAAGATCCAGGATCCGATTTCCTCACTTGTAAAGTCTACCATGTATTTCACGGGAAAATACACACATGCACAAAAACCAATCGGACACAAACTCTTCAAGAGATAAAGCAGCTTCCACATCACAAAGAAAACATTTTGAATTGAATGCATGTTAATTAAAAGAACCTATCTTCATAGATGGGGCCCTGGTGGCACAGTGGTTAAGAGCTTGGCTGCTAACCAAAAGGTCAGCAGTTCAAATCTACCAGCCGCTCCTTGGAAACCCTATGGGTTTTTTTTTTTTTTTTTTGTAGGATAAAGCTAAAACAATGCTTAAACCCATTGCCATTGAGTTGATTCTGACTCACAGTGACCCTGTAAGGACACAACAGAACTGCCCCCATAGGGTTTCCAAGGCTGTAAATCCTTACGGAAGCAGATCGCCAGGTTTTTCTCCCATGGAACGGCTGGTGGGTTCAAATCAGTGACCTCAGCAGCCGAGTGCTGTAACCACTGCACCACCAGGACTTCTAAACAGTGGTTAGGGGAAAAACTTGTGCTTTATTTGCTCATATTAGAAAAGAAGAAAGGTCTAAAATCAATGATCTAGGACAAGGGTTGGCAAACTTTTTCTGGAAAGGGCAAGGTAGTAAATATTTCAGGCTTTTCAGGCTACATGATCTCTGTGATATCTACTCAACTCTGCAAAAGCAGTCACAGGCATACCCAAATAAAAAGGCCTGGCTCTATCCCAATAAAACTATACTGACAGATAGAAATGGCAGGGGGATTGGCCCATGGGATGCAGTTTCTGGGCAACTGATCCATCCTAAGACTCTAGAAAGAGAAAAATAAACCCAAAGTAACTAGAAGGGTATAATAAGAGCAAAATTCAATGTAATTAAAAAAAAAAATTACAGATGCGATAGCTGGCTTTTCGGAAAAAAAATAATAATTCTGAAAAATCAATAGCTACTCTGATAATCGGAGCCCTGGTGGTGCAGTGGTTAAGCATTCGGCTGCTAACCAAAAGGCTGGCAGTTCAGATCCACCAGCCACTCCTTGGAAACCCTATGGGGCAGTTCTACTTTGTCCAGTAGGGTCGCTACGAGTGGGAAATGGGTTTGGTTTTTGTTTTGTTCTGATAATCGTTAATATAAAAAACATGAATACTGACTAAATCAGGAATGGAAGAGGGAACATTATTAGAGATTCTACACGTATTTTAAAATAATAAGGAAATATTATCAACAGCTTTATGTCAACAAACCTGACAATGGGGATAATGAGACTACTCCCTCAAGACACAAATGGCCGAAGTGATACAAAAAGGAGTAGGAAGTCTGAACAGAAACTCATCTATTAAAAAATGAATTTGTAATTAAAAACTTTTCCTAAAGAAAATTCCAGACATAGATGGCTGCTCTACTGAATTCTCTCAAACATTCAAAGATAGATAGCACTAATCCTATAAGCAACAATATGCTCCACATAGAAAATAATAAGCAAACTTCATACAGAAAGTATTAGAACTACTAAATGGGTTTAGAAAATTCTAAACACTCTACCAAAAGGTTACTAGAATTAAGTGAACTCAGGAGGTTGCAGGGTACAAAGTCAATCTACAGAAATGAGTTGTCTTTCTATACACAACCAACACATATTTGGAATTTTTTTCTTTTTCAGCTGTATAACTGACATGCTCTGAACTCAGGTAATCAGTAATCTGCTTTCTTTCAAGATGAGTTGGTTTGCATTCAATATGATTTCAGATAATGGGATCACACTGTATGTACTCTTTTTTTGTCTTGCTTCTAGCACATAATTGGTAACTTAAATTTAAATTTCATCAAAATGTGTCTTTTATTGAACTTAAACAACTTAAGGATAAAAAAAAACACAATAGAAAATATAAATTGCTAAGAATAAACCTAATAAAAACATGCAAGACTTCTGCACAGAAAACAAAAAAATCATTACTGGAAATAATTTAGGACAAACTAAAGAAATAAAGGGAATATATAAAATTCATATTTTGGTAGTCACAATATTATCAAAGATCTACAGATACAATATAACTCCAGTTGTAATCTGTCTATAAATCTGATGCACTGCTTGTCAAAACTCCAGCAAGTTTTTTAAAATGTTTTTAACAAAGTAATTCTCAAATTTAAGTGGAAGTGCAAAACATCAAGAATATCCCAAATGGGTCATCATGGTTAACTGGCATAATATAGTTCATAAAGTTATGTTCTACATCCTAGTTTGGTGAGTAGTGTCTGGAGTGTTAAAAGTTTGCGAGAAGTCAAGACACAACTATTGGTCTCTACTCGTCCAGAGCAAAAGAGAAGGAAGGAAACCAAAGACTCAAAGAAGAAACTAGTCTTCAGGACAAATAGTCTACACACACCGTGGCCTCAGCTACCCTGAGACCAGAAGAACTAGATGGTGCCTGGCTACCACTACCCACCATTGTGATCAGGGCCACAACAGATGGACACTGACAGAATGGGAGAAAAATGTGGAACCTAACTAAATTCTTAAAAACAAACAAACAAAAATCCAGGCCTAGTGGACTGGTTGATACCTGAGGACTCCCCAAGACTATTGCCCTGAGATACTCTTCAAACATGAAATCGAAACTACCCCTGAGGTTACCTTGTAGCTAAATAACAAACTGGCTAAAAAAATGACAAATATCACCTGTAAGTACTGTGCTCCTTTGAAAAATCACCTATATGAAACCAAACAGTCAACAATTATTTTAAAACAAACGTGAGAATGTAAGGGGACAGGGAAACTAGATTAAAGGAAACGAAAGAACCAGAATGGAAATAATGAGAATGTTCACACATTGTGAAGAATGTAACCAATGTCACTGAACAATTTGTGTAGAAATTGTTGAATGTGAACCTAAACTGCTGTGCAAACCTTCACCGAAAACACAAAAAGAACAAGGTGGGAGACTTTACTCAACCAGATTTTGATCTTTATTAAGCCTAATGCTAATGACAGTGTGGCACAAGGACAGACAGACAAATGGTCAGAGTGGAGTCCCACAACAGAATTAAGTATACATGGAGGGTTGTCTGATGACAAAGGTGGCAGAACCTGGAGGAAGAACAGTCTTCCGGATAAACAGTACTGGGTCACCTTGGCAGCCATCAGACTCCTACTAATAACATTCATAAAATCAATTCCAGAAGGATTATACATAGAAATATACAAGCAAAAAATAAAGCAACCAGAGAGAACCATAGAAAATGCAGACAAACATTTCTTCCACAAAATACAGAAAGTGCTAACAAAAAATTGATAAATTGAATTTCATTCAAATGGACAACATCTGACTATCAAAACACACCACACAAATAATGATAAGAAAAGCCACAGAATGGCAGAAGATATACGCATGACATATAATTATCAAAGGGCTCATTTTCAAAAGGCATAAAGAACTTCTATAAATTTATAAGAAAAAGACAACCTAATGTTTAAAAAAGGGCAAAAGATCTCAAGGAAAATCCCAAAAAAGGATAACCAAAAGACCAATAAATATACAAAAAAGATGCTCAATCTCTTTAATCAGCAGAGAAAAGCAAATTAAACTACGATGGAATACCACTACACTTTCACCAGATGACCAGAACAAATAAGACTGACAGTATTAAGTATTGTCAAAGACAAGGAGCAAGAGGAACATTTTGTATTCTGCTGGTAGATTAGGAAACTTGAACCACTTTGGAAAACCATTTGACATTATTTAGTATATCTGAACATGCACAAATTCGTCTGAATCAGCAATTCCACTCCTAGTTATTTACCCAACAGATACTCATTAATACATACAGGGTCCCAACAGACATGCACAAGAAGGTTCATAGCAGCTACTTGTAACAGCTAAAAACTGGAAAGTTCCAAATGCCCATCATCACAGAACGGGTTAATATATTGTAGTAAACACACACAATGGAATAAAAATAAACCATTGCTACATGCAACATGGATGAATCTAATAAACACAACTTATAGCAAAAGGTGCCAGAAACAAAAGAATACATAATATATAATTTCATTTACATAAAATTCAAAAAAGACAAAACTAATCTAGTATTAAAAGTCAGGGTAGTGAATTTAAAGAGGAACAGGGCTAGTGACTAGGACGGGGCATAAGGTGGGACTCCTGGGGTGTGTACGTAAATACAGTCCAGAATAAAATGGAACTTGACTTGGGTGAGGGTAACGAGTGTGTTCATTCTTTCAGTTGGCTTTTACACTAGCGATGTGTGTACTTCTCTGTATTTGTGTTCTACTCCAATTAAACATGTAACTACATACACACACGCGCAGGCACGCACACACACAAACGTGTGCACACGACTTGTATAATTTAACGCCAAGAATGTGGGCCACCTTCTTCCAGGAACGCTCTTTGATGTGCTACTACAAACTATTTTTATCTACTGATCACCAAAGATGAGATAATGTTTGGCTAGTAGAGCTCCAGTTACGTGAGGTACATAACTTACTGGGGCACTGACTCATTTAAAAAGTGTATATTTTAAACTTTCATCACCACCTCACAAATGCCCAGTTTTATGTTGTTACTATTTGAACACGTTTTTAACCTTTTTTGGAAGTCCTAACATTCATGGTACAATAATGGCTTACAGTTCTACGGAGGTCAGCGTATGAAAAGCACTCAAGACCTCTCAGTTTAGACTCTGAAACATAACAACACTCACTGATTTAGAAAAGAAAAAAGCAAAACAGTTACTTATAAAATGCAGTCTCAAAAAGCATAATCCATCGACATTCTCAAGAATTCTTAACTGTACCTGTGTATCTATTGCACACTGTTTCACTAGGAAAGAGAGAGCATAAAATGAGTAGCAGAACAGCTGTGCGCACCTCGTGTTCTCAGCTGAATCTTCCGGCATGGGGGCGACGGTCTGCACAGCTGGGAGGTTTTTGCTGGTGGCGCCGTTCACAAAACTAGAAGAGGAGGAAGAGGAGGAGGACCCTGAATCCACAGCACCTGTTCCCAAGACAACAATGTCAGCCTGAAACATAAATTTTATTTAACAAAATAATTTTAATTACATCGTTACTTCCTGATTCTGAAAGTAATTACTCATCTGAATTTCAAAACGGAATTTGACAATTAATTATTTGGCCATTAGTATACTAATAACTCTTTAAAAATATAAATAACAGCTTGTTGCATTAAAATTTACTTATGTTAATCTACAAAAGTACATGTTACAAATGGGGTACAAATAAAAGACATCAACAAATGAAAATAATTTTGGAAAAAATGAGACTAATAAAACAAAGCAAATTTAGATGTTGAAAATTCATCCCTTTTTGTTGCTGTTATAAATTTTTTCATTTTTGTCACCTAAGATATAATTTACAATAAATTGTCTGAGCCTAAATTTGTGACACTGTGGCATCAATTGCTCCTTTTGATAAAATGACTGCTTAAAAGGGGCTTTAATGAGTGTAACTCTACCTGATTTTAAAATAAGGAGTTTTCCACAAAGGTGTGAAGATGCCATTTTAGAAAAGATCTTTCTATAATACACCAGGTTAAGTATATTAAATAGTTGTGCAGTTGAGGGACATCTAGTGTTCCTAGATACTATTATATCTTGTATTATTTCCCATAAAACTGAATTGCTCAGCAGTATTTCCACCACCGATTTATACAGCATCCATCTGTCAACAAATAAACTGGACATCTGGCCCACAGTTCTGCATGTGTACATGTATATATATATGCATGTGTGTGTGAGTTTCTAAGAAGGCTGTTTCTTACTCACATTTTCTATTTCCTTGTACTATTACACACTCACACTAACACTCTTCTTTTGCTGATGTCACTTCGTGTGTCTATTAATCTTCATACAAAAAATAGAAGGAAGCATCATCACTTGTCTCACACAAAGATAAAAAGGTGCTGATTTAATGTTTCATTTACCTACCTTGTAACAAAAATAAGAAGTTCTTTAATAAACAAAAACAAATACAGGGTTTGTTTGTTTTTTCCAACTACACTGCCATATTTTAAAAACCTTAAACTTTTGGAGTATGTACTTCAGTAAAAAGAGTAACTATTATTCCTCCTTCTAGAAAGCAGAATGGACGTAAAGAACAAGATTGTAACCTGGAAAGAAAGACTTTATATAAAGTCTTCAGGCAAGTCAGATATAAATACTCGTGTATAATTTAGATAAACCAAAGATGTTTTCTTCTTTAACACAATGTTACTGATGATAGTTATATGCTAAAATAAATATGCTTGATAGAGTACATTCTACTTACAACAACCCCATAAATGCCTTGTTCATGATATTTCAGACTCAGGTGGTGTGATAAACAAGATAGATACAGAAAGCACAAAGAAGAGCTACAAAATCAATGAAAGTGGGAAGATTCTAAGTCATGAAATAGATGGAAAAGTTCAAGGCTATACAGTTTGGAGAAGAGAAGACTATTATAGTCAGGGAAGAAAAGTCTGGGATCATCTTGCGTTGTATAAATACCTAAAATGGAATCACAAAGATCTGGGTAAGGATTTATTTAGCTAATAACCAACAGGAACATTTTCTGGAAATTTAAAAAAAAAGGTTATCTCATTCAGGCTTTTAAAATTTGTTGTGATTTGGAATTTTCTGTTCCTAGAATCATTAGGAAAAGTTGGACAACAAATTGAACACAACTGTAATCTAAGTGTGTAAATTAATTCAGTGCCACTGGTTCACATTTGATCAAGTTGAGGCTCTGCTTATTGTCAAGGATCTCAGAGGAGCTGTGCCTTCCCGTAGGGGATTTCGCAGAGAATACACATTAGGATGCAGCCAGTAAATGTCACCAAATCCATCCTCTTCCACAAACATTCTCAGTGCACTTTGCTACTCCTGATACAACTCACTGATGTTCACATATTAAACTTGAGTGTTTAAATCATCTTTGGCTTTTGCTCCCCAAACGTGTCCCACTATCCAGATTTCACTCTGAGAGTAAAGAGCACTCTGCGTTTTCAAAAGCCTCGAAACAAAACAACAGAGTCCTCTAAAATGGCCACTGACAAAGGCACCCTGGAACTACGGACGAGTTCCGAAAAACACTAACATAAAGCACAACCCTCTTAAAGTTTAAGACAATCTTAAATGATCAGGGAACTTTACTTTTTAAGATCAAATAAGCAGAAAAATGAAGATATAGAAAACAGAAAGAAAAAGATGCGGCATCACAAAAATATATAAGGACGATACCTGTTGTATTAATCATACTTTTTGGTGTAGCTCCAGTGGCAGCGAATATGTTAGAGGTACTGCCTGTGGACAGGCCGCCTCCAGCAGGGGTGGTTCCTACGGTGTTCACCGCTAGACTCCCAGGAGGGGGCTTCTTCACAGGCACCACCACACTCCTGCAGGAAAGAAACGGAAAACAAAAGATGCAACATTTACGATGAATTCTAATCCCGCTGTGGTGAATACACGTAAGGCAGTATCAAATTTCTTTCTTTCTTTTTTTCTTAATTCCTGAACCCAACTTCTTTAGTGACAAGAACATGGACATTAAGGATATACTGGCAAAGCACACTGACTACTATATTTCACTGGGTAAACGTTTATGTAGAATCTAGAGTTTGCAAACCTCTAAAGACACACTCAGACTGTAATCACGAAGCTGGTAATATTGGAGAAAACGTGCCCTCAAATTAGCAGATTTTACCTATAGTGTTTTTGGGCAAAATATACATAAAATGTTCATTTATCTTTAACATATTCTTTAGTTGTAAAACATTCGAACATAAAAACCTTTGAAATCTAAATTCTAAGTGTCTTCATGGTAAAGCTAAAAACTAAACCAAGAACACCTGATAACATCTAAGGGCATAATGAGGTTATGTTTTACTTTTCTGGAAAAAATGATGTTTTTTGTAGCAGGAATAGCATTACAATGCTGTAGAAGGGAACTAGGATCGTGCATTTGGAATCTGGTCAGAGATCTATTTAGCATTTAAACCTTGACATTTCAGTCACAGGAGTTCAATACTTTTCCTACGTTTCTTTAGTACAATTTAAATAAATTTTATACATATTTCTGAATTTGACACTGTGTTGATCTTAAATAATAAATGTGATTAGAAGTCAGTTTAGAATATGAATGAAGGGAACTTTCTCTAATAAGCATCTATATTGCCTTGCCGCAAAGCTTCACTCTTCTCCAAGTTCACAGCACTGCACACTTCATTTAACAAACGTGTTCCAGACATTACTCAACCATCAATGAATTTATTTACCTAGAAAACACGTGTATGAAATGTATTAAGCACAAAAGTATTGCCTGAAAACTGGTGATGGGTGGTACAAAAATATCCAACCTGAACTAGGCCTTTTTAATGCATGCATAGTTTATAATTTTCCCATGAAAAAGCTCAATTTAAAGGAAACTATCTCATGTCTCATGGCTCATTCTCAAATAAGTCAGCAGTCTATGGCTTAAATTTCCTTCATATCAACAGTTTTTCTATATTGTTTTTCAAAGAAATCATTTATGCTAATGTCTTCAGTGACTTCTTCAATGTCCAGATCTAAATTTGTAATACTATTCTCAATTTTAGGAGTACTTAACCGTTTTTTTGTGACTGAAGTATTACAATCTTAAGTAGTTATCCTCATGCCAAAGTTAATAAAAAACAAAACACCTTTTTTCATTATCTCTTTCTGGATATTTTCTTCTTTTCTCTTAATAGATGGAATAAAATTCATTAGATTCAACTTTGAACTCTCAACTATCCTAACAATTTACCAAGAGGACACATTACGTTTTCACTGCCTATAACGGCCAGTCTTCATCTAGGTCCTTCGTTTACGTCACTGAGAAGGAAGGTGACGCCATGGAAGCTATATAGGATATGGAGGGACATACTAAGTCTTGAGAGGGAGATCACTCTCAAGCTGTGTGATTCTAAACTTCAGTTTCCTCACTGTAAAAATGGCAAGACTAATGCCACCTGGAGTCCCTGGGTGGTGAACACACTTGGCAGCTAACTAAAAGGTTGGAGGTTAGAGTCCACCCAGAGGCACCTCAGAAAAAGAAAGGCCTGGCAATCTCCTTCTGGAAACTCAGCCATTGAAAGCCTGAGGGAGCACAGTTCTACGCTGACACACGTGCGGTTGTCATGAGTTGGAGTCAACTCAATGGTCACTGGTTTTAATGCCACCTACTTCACATATAACTGGGGAGGTATTTTAAATAAGACTGTGTTTAAAAGAACTTCTTCAATTATGAGGTGTCTTATAAATGTTAATAATTGTTACCATTATATATACTGAAATACCTTTCTGCCTATAGGATATACGGTATATAGTTATAATGATCTGCATAAAGATCAGTAAAGAAAAAAATAAGATTAACTAATTTATTTTGGTTTATCATCAAAATTCCTCTCTAAATTTCTAAACTAATGCGAGATGAACCATCTCACTGGTTATCTAGCAAGAAGACAAAATCATCCATTATTGATCTGAAAACTAATAATTAGTGAAATTATAACATTTTTTTTTCTACTCACGCATAACACCCTTACGGATAAAATGAAGACATATGGGCTGATTGAGATTGCTGTAAGTCGGATTTGTAGATGGTGGAAAAGCTGTTACTACAGACCCCTGAGTAACAGAAAGTTACCAGCCTCGGGCACAAACTATAACAGATTACCACAGATACCTTGTTGAGTATAGAGGGTATGAGAAATAAATTATATTCTGAGAAATAAGTTATATGAATGAGGAAAAAAAGGAAATCTCACCATTTTTTAATGATGGTTTATAAATAAAATGCAAGAAAAAAAAACAAAAACTTAAAAACCTATCTACCAAAAACTGAAAGCATCCGACTTAATGGCTTGCAACATTTCACTGATGTCAAATTCACAAGTTTGACAGTATGAGATGGCATATAAATACGTGGGCACAGTGGCTAAAAGCCCAGCCTGCACCACCAGATAGACCTGGGTTACAATTCTATACCCAACAATTACTAGCTGTGTGGTCTGAGGCAAGGTTAATCTCTCTAAGCTCCAAATTTCTCACCTTTAAAATGACATTCATAATAGTGAATACCTTATAACAGTGTTATGAGGATAAACGGATATCATGGATATAAAGCGTTTAGCATACTGCACGCAACACTGTAAGTCGTCCATAAATTTAAGCTGTTATCAGTCTTCTATGGCTCCCAAAAGAGCTGATGTGTCTGGGCCTACATCAGCAACAGTGCCCAGATCCAAAGAAGCCACAGTCCTGGTACACTGTGCTACTGTCAGACCTCATAAGCAAAATTCTGTGTGTAGTTTTAGGCACTACATTTCAAGAACAGTGATAAACAAGATCAAGTCCATAAGGAGCCCTGGTGGCACAACAGTTAAGTGCTTGGCTGCTAACTGAAAGATAGGTGGTTCAACCCCCCAACAGCTCTAAGGCAAAAAAGACCTGGCAATCTGCTCCCATAAAAATTACAGCCAAGAAACCCCTGAGGCAGTTCTACTCTGTCATATAGGGTCGCTATGAGTGGGAATCACCTCAATGGCATACAACAACAAGTCAAGTCCATACGAGAGCAGTTAGGATGACAGCAGACCTGGGAACAAGTCATAGGAGGAAAGGCTGAAAGGACTAGAAAATTATAGTAGGAAAATGAGAAAAAAGATAGCAATTTTTAAAAATCTGAAAGTAAATGATAAAAAAAAAAAAAAAGAATATGCTTCCATATGTCTCCAAATGCCAAATTAGGACCAACAGAAAGAAGAATTCTTGTAATTTTTATGAGCTTGAGAAGTGTTCACATGGTTGGGATGACCACATTAAAAGAGTTTTGTTGAGAGGTGGGAAGCTGGATTTGACTGATTTCTCGGATTCTTTTTGAATCTCCAGTTTTATGTACTTATAAAAACTAATATTTTCCCTTTGATTCTTAAGGCCACATTTATGTAGAATCAGAGAGCTGACCATTCTTGGCCTTACTATCATCCTTTCACCAGCATTACCCATTCTCCACCACCTCAAACAATTCTCAGACCTAAGCAATTTATTTTGAAATACTTTGAAAGTTCACACTTACCATTACGTGTTGAGAATACATGAGTTGCCCTGTAGAATGGTATTTTGCATTCAACACTACTTGTATATGAAAGTAAACATTTCCAACTCCTTTACAAAATCTTTTATCAGATTATTATTCAATTATTTCCCACTTGGTTACCTATTCCACTTACCTTATCAAAAAGTCTTACCTATGAATCTCTGTAGGTACTCACTGTGGGTTCCTATTTAGGGTGCATAAATACCCTAAAACATACACAAATTTGGGCAGAATATACATTTTTTCTAGGGCGAACATGTAATTTTTATCAGAATTTGAAAAAGATATCATAACATGCCATGATATAAGGGAACCTGGAAAATATTATGCTGAGTGAGAACAGTCAGTCACAAAAAGACAACAACTATATGATCTCACTTATAGGAAATCAGCAAATATATAAACACGAAAGCTTATTAGTGGCTCCCAGAGGTGGGAGGGAGGTGGAGAGGGGAGTGTTTGCTTAGAGGGCATTGAGTTCATGTTAATGGTGGAATAATTCAGAAAAGGATACTGATAATGGTTGCACACCATGAAGAATGTAATCACTGTCACTGAATTATACATAACAGAAATTGCTGAATTGGCAAAAAAAAAAAAAAAAAAAGATATCGTAATAGAAATGTCCAGAGCTACTGACATAAACTACTAACGTATTCTGCTCTTCAGATGTATCTGTCATCACACCGCCCACACCCGGACCCCACGCCGCCACATGCACCCTTCAGGGACGGCATGCTTCTGTCTCATACTACATACAATCTATACATACTTCGAGGCTGTAAAAGTTATCACCAAAATAGTGCAAGCTGGGAAATAATTCAATCACTTCAGCAAGATTTTTCAGTGAGTGATTGATTATATGTTGTGTAATACATTAAGTGATAAATACAAGCAGTAATTTTTCCATCACTGAATTTATCCTATTTTATCCTACCTCAAAGCCAGAGATCTAGGTTGTAATCTAAAATTCATTCATTCATTCACTCATTCATTCAACAAATATTTACTGAACTCCAACTATGTGTCAAGGACTGTTCCAAGTTCTGGAGACACAGCAATCCACAGAACAGACAAAATTCCTGCCCTCATGGAGCTTACATGCCAATATGGAGAGACAGAAATATAATCACACAAATGGGTAAACACAGTACACATCAGGAGGTAAGTGACACAAGAAAAATAAACACAGAACAGGAACAGAGAGCACTGTTGGAAGGAGAAGACACACTGAAGAGGGGACATTTGAGTGAATACTACAGGAGGTAAAATGGCAAG